CAGCCCGGGGGTCTCAAGCAGCCCCACCAAGACGCGGGGAGGAGGGAGAAATGCCCAGATCTCCTCCAAAACAAAACCAGGCTTCCAGGAAAGCTTCGTATGCTTCCCCCGTTGCAGCGGTGCCAAGTTTCCTTCCAAGTCAAACTGCAATGAACAAATTCTCCTGTTGAAATTAAAGCAAGGCTTTGCCATCACAGGGGGAATCAAACTGTTCTTCCAGCCCCCACACACCCTGAGGAGAGCAAGATCTGCCACAAGTTTTTTCCACTGAAGAAGCCAGAAGATTCAAAGTCAAGGTTTAAAATAAAAAAAAAACAAAAACAAAAACATATATATAAAAAACATTATTCTGTTCCCCATCTTCCCCTGCTCTCCTCCATTTTGTGATTTGGCAACAGGGTCATCACATGGCATTAATTTTTCTTTAAGGAGACTGTGAGCGTAAAAGCAAATACTGCCATTCAGAGCATGTAGTGAAAAATGCAACTCCTCAGCAAGCCCCCGAACAAATCCAGGGCCTCTGTGCGGGGAACCAGACGCCCGGCTCCAAAACAAAGGCAAGGAACTCAATCTAGATGCGGTAAAATTACGTGGACAGCGCAGAGCAGTTTTTTTCCACCCCACAAGCTGACAAAAAGCCTGTTGAAACATTGGTTCATGGCAGCACAGAAACCATCAGCTGCAAAACTGATGCATCGAGAACAAAGCTACATAGATAATATTTTTATGGCTCGTAACTATCCCGTCATTCACACGAACGACGGGGCCCCGAGGGATTTTATAGGTGGCACCGACTACAGAGGCCCACATTCATTGCACAGTTCACGAAGAGAGACGGCATCCGAGCAAACACCAACGTGCCTGCCAACATGGGAATCTCCAAATAAAGCACCCCAGACTGGGGACGCAGTCAACAACCCTCCAAAGATAGCCAAGCTTCCTCCAAGGAGACAGCCGGCTTACGACAAGGATTCTTACACAAGCATCCTCCACAACTGCGTTATACAGGGTTAACGCTTGGAAGAGTTTCTTCCAATATTTAAAAAGTTACAATACTTTGTGTTTTATAGAAAAAAAAGTCATGGTATAGATTGAAATAAAAACAGTAAAAGCCACCTTATGAGTTTGGAGGGGCTGTCTGTAATCCAGACAGGAATCCCTCCGACCAACCCGGCGTGCAGAACGAAAACCGCCGGCAGCGGCTCCGGAAACACGGGGCCTTCGGTCAATGAGTGCAGCTTCTGTCGCAGCACTCGAGTCCTGAAGCCTCCGGGCGAACAGTCCCCCACTGCCAGCACCGCACAGAGGAGGTGCCCGAAAGCACAACACCCTCCTCCTGCATGGCCGTCCATCCTCCAGGCTGTCGGGCAGAGTTTCGCCTCCAGAAGGTAGGAAGTGTTTAGAAAGTTCAGCAGTCTTTGAAAAAGACTTAGGTGTTTTCCTTTACACGTGGATATTATGTATAGCTATGATTTGCTTCCCCTAGAGCTTATTTTATTCTGAAAAAGAAGGGAATATATTCAACTCTGGGAACTCCTCGCTGTTGTAGTTGGGTCCTTGGTCTCCCAGCATCGTCAGCATGTCCTGCGAGGATACAAGGAGAGAGTTATTATCTGGACTAGAACCCACGCTGGTAATTCAGTGACGGAGGAGTTTGCCAGAGCAGGTACTGCACACCCAGACAGTCCCCTCCCTGCCAAGGCACACAGGGTTTGGGTCCAAGGCTGCAGGAGCGCAGCAAATGAAGTCCTGAGCAGGGACTGAAAAGAGGGGCAGCAACCCACAGGAAGAATATGACCTCTCAAGAGCTCTCTTGCACTTCATGGGATCGGGTGGAGTGTTTGGGGTTTTTTTGTTATTGTATTTGATTAGAGCTAGAAGGGTTAATTCAACTGCAGAGCTGGCAGTTTCACACTGATCCTTCAGCAGACCAAGACACAAAGCCAGTACTGTGGAGGCCTCTCTGCCCTCTCCCCTCCAGTTTCAGCTCCATCAGCTTACTCACAAGCTGGAGACCTCTCCAGGTATTACAAACTGGAGGGACAAGCTCTCGGCACTTCAGCCAGCTGCCCACACTTGGGAAGCAAAGGCCTTCTGTCCCCACAAGACTGGCCCACACCAGTCCTCTCTCGGGAGGTTAAAAAAGCACCATCTTACTGAGAAGACCTCAGGCTGGCTTGGCTGCGGCTGCTGCACGTGTTGCTCCCCGGACGCCGGGCCGTGGTGCTGTCCTTGCCACTGCGGCCACATCCCCACACCTTCGGCTGCCCGCGTCTGGAATGGGGCAGGGGTCTGCGCTGCCTCCGTGGCTGTTCAAGAGAGAACAAGTCAGGAAACATCTGGGGTTTGTTTCCTCCCAGTCAGCCTTAAAATGGTTCAAAATTCATCTGCTCTGGAGCCTCAGGCAGGGATGGTGGTTAAAGGTGATAAGGGCAGCATTAGCCAAAGCATGGATTTCGCTGTGCTCCTGCGTTTGGGCATTCCCAACACACACAAAAAAATACTGGAGAGCATATCATGCCAAGGCTACACCCGACTGACTCCCGGCTTTCCTCCCGGGGATTTCCTTGCCGCCCCACCAACCTCCCCAGCAGCCCAAGCCATACTCACTGAAGCCCGTGCCACGGCTGGCAAGGTTCGGGTAAGCAGCCCCGGTAGGGGAAGCCGTAGAGCCAGGCGCTGTCATAGGGCTGAAGGAGGACGGGGTGCCCTGGAAAGTCCCCATGCTGAATGAAGGGGGACGAGTCTTCACCGTCTGGGATGCCACTTGCTGTAAGAGAGCAAGAAGCAGGAGAGGAAGAAGAGAAGATGCGTTTATTCTGAACCTCGTCTTAACCAGGGTGAGAACTTGCTGGACTGGCCCCAAAGGAGAAAGCAGACGGGCGCAGGGCATTGCTCCATCGCTCAGCTGGAGAGTTAAAGCAGGTTGATTTGTGACAGCAAGAAGGGTCTGTAAAGGCAGCAGGGACTCGGGGCCTGCGCCGAGGGTTCAGGCTTTGCTACCTGGGGTGTGAACGCTGGCCGCGTCCCTGGAGCCCAGTTGGTTCCGCTGACCTGAGCTGGGTTGGAGTGGCGTGAAATCTGGGCTAAGATCCGGCCCGCTGAGGAGGGCTGCTGCTGAATAATGTTCACAGGAGGTACCATGCTGCTGCTCCTGGAAGACAGAAGAGGCACTCTTAGGACACTGGGTACCACTAACAGGACAAAGAGGCACAAACAGCACCCACGCAAGTTACTAGTGGGGAGAAATGAGCCCAGAAACGCGGGTAACTGCTCACATGCCAGTGCCCATCATGCTGCCCTGCTGTTGACACAACTGGCAGGAGCTGCTGGGTTTGTGGGAAAGGTTACTCGCACTCAGCTCAGTTCTTGGGCTCCAGTCTACGCATGTCCAAGAGGCACAGCTATCCCGCAGACGAGCAACAGAGCAGAGGGATATGAGGGAATCAAGGCAGTAGCTGGGGAGGTGAAGGTGAGGACTGGCACAGCAGAAGAGGGGCCGTGCTGACTTTGCACAGCCTCAAAGCTCCTGCACCTCCGACCAGCAGCAAAGCAGCACCAGGCAGGAGAGCAGGGGTGTAGGAGCCCCTCTCCTCAAAGAAACCCCACTCCAAGAAACCCATGCCTGAATGGGTTTCCCCTTCTATTTTCTGCGCACGCTATACAGGAACACATTTATGGACAATCACTGCCGTGTAGAGAGACGCTGGGAACACTCTGCTGTTGCAGAAGGACACAAACACAGAACAGGAACCACTGCAGGAAAAGATAAAATTAGCATGAGGCCACTCAAAGCACAGCACAGGAAGCCTCACCTGAAGTTCTCGGCAGGTCGCGATGGGGTGAAAGTGTTTCCCTGTGTAAAGAGGGGCTGGTTGGCAGGCACTGTGCTGGCAGGAATGGCTTTGTTCTGGTCTGTGGAGAGAGGATGATTCACATTAGGGCTGAGAAAGTCTCAGCAGCAGGAGCAGGGACAGAGAACCAGTTGCAAGAGGCATGCCCATATGAAGGAAGACTCTTTTGAGCCAAAGCATCAAACATGACTGTTCCTTATCCAGACACAGACTCCAAATGGCTTTATAAAAGCCTGTTTAATCTGATTTCCTCTCCATTTTCTAATAAATTTCGCATTAAGGTCCTCTGGGGTTTGAGCATCCACGACATTCTGTGCCCAGCCTAGGAACAGAGAACTGCTCTCTGGGGACAAGCAGGAGGCAGTAACACACAGAGCAAGAGACACCTTATCACCCACTCCCTCCCCACACCTCTCCAGAAAAAATGTTGGCTGCAGGACAATTCACTGCCACAAGAGCACATCAGCATAGACACGAATTATCCCCCCAGCATCAAAAATGAGCGCTATTCTGCAAGACCTGGGCTGCCACAACAGAGTCATGCTGAGCCTCTGCGCCCAGAACTGCTCTGAGTGACTTAGGAAAGAGCAAAGAGCACTCGGATTGAAGCCAAAATCGGACAAAGATGTGATGTGCCCCTGGCCACGGCTCACAGCCCAGCACTCCTTACCTGTATTGATACTGCTGTAGATTTCGCTGAACCTTGGGTCCCGCTCCTGATTAAAAAGGCTCTCCGTCTTCTCCAAGGGCTTGCTGTGCTCTGGGCCAGCAGCAGCCACAGGCTGAACGGGAACCTGGGAGCAGGTATAGACGTGAGCTCTTAGTACCTCCAGCACAAAGGAAGCCAACGGTCTCGCAGCCAGCAGGGAGAACAGCCGAGGGCTTTGCAGGCAAAGACCTCGCACGCAAGAGGCCAGGCTGCTCCCTGGACTCCTGTGTATTTTAGCAGGACAGTGTGACACTTAGGACTGGCGGCATCGGCATGGGCATAGTGGGGAAGATGCCACAGGGGCAGATCAAAATCAAGCAAGCAGATTTCAGCAAAACCCAAGCCAGAGCACCTTCCTCTCCGAACTGGCAGCAGCCTCAAGTCAATCTTGTGTGGCCACCTTTAAAGCCCCAGCAAAAGGTAATTCAAATAACGTAGGACAACAAATACAAGGAGTAACCGAAACTCCTGTTGATTTACCTGTGAGTGGTCGTAACCAGACAGGCTCTCTCTTCCTGGGACCACTTCCAGCTCTGTCTGTTGTGGCGGCTGCTGCTGCCTAAAATAGAAAGTGTCTGTAACAGGAGAACACCGGCTGCTAAAAACGATTGCCAAGGGAACAGATACTCTGTGGTTACACCAGTGATTCATTAGCCCAGAGGAGTTCACTGCTGCAGAGAGGAAAGTTTGGGTAGGACAGCTATTTGACAGGAGGGAAGAACCAGCAAGAGAGGCATGGTAAAAGGAGCTGAGCACCTCCTGACCTTGAGGGCAGCTGTGCCGTGCCCATCTCCAGGGGAAGGCTGACACTCTGCCCGAGCTGGGGCCTCTGCATTGAGTTTGACAGGGCAGGCCGAGACTCCTGGCTCGAGTTCCTTTAAAGCAAAGAAAGAAAGAAAAAAAAAAAGAATTTTAAAAATACCAAACGAAAGCAAACAGCTGGCTACTGCGTGCAGGAAAGCGCGCCTGTCTCGGACAAGACTGGAACCTTTGCTTTTGCAAAACCTGTTCAAGTGAAGGATCCTTCCACTCTGTTTCTGTGGTCTCTGAAAGCGGGGGGTGTCATGTAATATAATGCTAACTGCTATGAGCCAAAGGGCTCTGCCCCCTCCCACTCAGTCACAGAGCAGGGGAGCAATTAAAAACCTACACCAGAAGCACGGCCAGGTCTGCATCATCCTTAAAGCACAAGCAAAGGTTGTAGGAGCCTAAACACCCCCAAGGTTTTCCATTCAGCTCTATGCCAGACACTCCAGAGCTGGAGCCTGCAGAGACCACCAGCAGTTTTAGGTTTTAAGCCCAAGATGTTGGTGGAGTTCTTTATGCTCTTCTGTTAACTGTCAGAAGTCAGTTAATGTTTAACTCCCACAAGAAAGGAATAAAAATCCAGCGTTTTCTCGACAGTTCTTTTGCAAGCTGCTGCTTCAGTAGTAACTGATCTCGAAGATGAAACAGTACAGATAACCTAGCAAAGATGCACATAGATAAAATGCACCTCAAACACAATCAGACATGTATTGCTGCTTCTCTGGTCTGAATTTATGCAGTGCTTTTAGAAGGCGTAGTATGGATGTGAGAATGGATGCGTGTGGAATGAATGAGTTCAAAGAGATATCTCTAACACCGGGACAGGAGTTAAGGCCTGTATCAGATCTGCATCAGATTTCAGCCCTGCACTCACACCGCACCTCTTTAAAGCCAGAGGCGTTAGTCACTGCTCAACTCTTAATGATTTGTCTCACCAGAAAGCATCAGCTTGCCAGCTGCAGGAAGGGAAGAAGTGCTACCTCCACTCTAGGACCTCACCTCATCACAAAAAAATCCTGGCTTTTCACTTGCCCACAAGTAATCTAGCTTTCTGTTTGCCTGGCTGGAGAGACTCCATTTGTGGCACCCATCAAGTCTGCACTTATGAATCTCATACAGGCACTTTTTTTTGTATTTCAGTTGCTGCTCTTCTGTAAGGGGCTTGGAGCTCACTTATGAGAAGAGAGAGCAGCTCTGATCACTCCAAAAAGAGATGCACCAAACTCACTAGAACAGTCAAGAGAGAAAAGAGAGCAGCAATGAAAGCAGTCTCCCCACCGGAGCTCACTTCTGAATCCAAGAACAAAACTACAGCAGTGGAGAAAAAAAAAGCGTTTACTTTCCACCATCAGCTGCAGACAGTCTTGCTCACATGAAAAGCCACTTTCTGGACCAGCTGCCCCCCTGGACTGTCAGAGGAGTCCAAGAGTTACGTTCAAAGGCAGATTTCACTAATATTAGCTCTGAATGCAAACACACAGGCAGGAGACTTGCTCCAGTAACCAGAGTTAAAAAAGGCACTGCTGGAGCTGAACTTTGGCAGCTTGCTAAGCCATACAACCGAGACAGCTAAAGGAATTAAATTTCTTGCACTTCATAGTCCTCTAATGCCTGCCACGGCCCAGGAAAAGAGCGCTCACGGGACTTAGTAATTTCACCAGGGCCTATGCAAATTGGTGGGAAGCTCGGTGAGGGGGAGAGGCCAAAGCTCCCACAGTTCTGTGTTGCTGGTTATTCTGGGACAAGATCCCATCAGGTTCGTGTGCTATCACTGGTGGTTGGCAAGTCATTTCCATGTACATACTTGACGTTGGTGTTGGTACAGATGATGTACTCAATTTCATCCGAGTAGGGGTTCTGGAAGGTAAAGGAGCTGGTTCTCATCCAGAGCCATTCCCGGTTTTTGGATCGGAATCGGAACATGACTGACAGAACCTGGCCTTTTAACTTCACCACCTAAAAAAACGTAATGCCATCAGTAGTACCTGATAAGAGAAGGTGTTGAAGAGCAACCTGCTTCTGAGCATAAGCCACCCCCCAGTAAAACCTTGTGATGGCCCTTTGCCTCAAAGCCTGCAAGACCATATATCTTGGTTTTCCCCAACTAAATGGCACTGCTACTATTCCTTTATGCTATCTTGATTCCTGAATGACATTCGGGGGGGCAACAACCTAATACCCCCTTTTTAGCTTTCACTTTTCTTATCTCTTTGCACTGGTGAGATGTATGAAAAAGCCTCCAGCAAATGAAGCACATGCTGTTGCTTCTGATTCCAACTATTTGCACAAATGGATATGAGCAGCTACTTTTTGGAGTCATGAAAGCACAGGGGCAGTCTTACCTGCCCTGCCACAAGTCCAACGCCCTCAGAAATAAGAGTAACGACAACAGGGCAAGCAAACCACATCCATTTCGAGTTCTGCAGCACTGGGCTGGGCCCTAGAGATGAACCAGTGTTTCAGCCACAGAAGCATGGCATTCAAGTAGGCACTTTGTAGCCACGTCTCTGGCCCTAAAAGCAGACTGGACTAGCAGCCAGAGGATGAATTCAAGAGTTAGACATCAGATGCTTCTGTTTTGTTTTGCACATTTACAGTTATGTGACTATATCTGTAACTGTTTGCCATTGGGCAAAGGAGAAATATCTAAGGTTTATTCTTCTCTTGCTTTTCCAATTAATTTCATTGCTTTGCGAGCACCAAGACAGATTCCAATCTGAATACCACAACGCATGCAAAGTGGTAGCTGAAGTGTTTTACCTGCTGAAAGCTGTCCCGCAAAAGCTGTTGGTCTTCTGGGTGGCAGAAATCCACAATGTCTTTCCCCAGAAGTTCCTAATTTTGAAGGAATTGGGAGAGAGATCAAGTCAGTTCATCTGGCAGGCAGACTCCCTCTTTCAGGTTTGCCTCATTAATTCCACTTTGGACAGGTAGTTACTGCTCCCCCCCACCAAATCACGGTTACAGAAACCAAGTACGGGAACTGGTGTGCTGTATGTTAGAGAGAAGCACAACAACGGTTGACCAACATTTGATCTCTAACTCAAATGAAGGCAAAAATGACCTTAATTGACATTAGACATAATCCAGAGCCACCCACCCTTCCCATGATCAAAGTACTTATTAAAGCACATGAAAAAGCAACTGGTGGTGAAGACACGCATGTCTGGTTTAGGCCCTGGGCATCGTTTTATCAGACAAGATATCTTTTATCTGCCTTTTATCTGTTAGACAAGCAGAGCCATGAGGTACAAGAGAGGGAGGAGGGAGAAGTAAGCTTGAACAGCAGTTTTTTCTTAGAAAGCTCCTTCCGTTTTCTCACCTGTGGCTGGTAGCCAACTGTAGCCACACAGCGGTGATCTATGAAGGTGAAAATGCCTTCGGTGTTGTGTCGGGAGATGAACTCTGTTGGCTGACAAACATTGTTCATGTCTGTGCAGTTGGGTGAGCTAGTGACCTGCAAGGCAACATAGGTACAGGATTATCGAATCTTGTGAGAGCTGCTTTCTCCTGGCCAGCCAGCCCTGCAGTCAGATTTGTGACAATCAGGGAACATCTTCAGACAGAACAGTTTACCTCTGTGGATTTTTAGGACAACGCAATGACTCACCTGGAGCCTGCCAATAGCCACGAGGCAAAACGTGCTGCCCTGGCCAGCATCCGGGTCATCATCGGGTAGTGAAACACCTGAGAGGAGAGCCAAAAAATTCCAGCAAGGTTAATATAGGAAAAATTGCTAATTTCAGAGGAAAAAGACATGCCGTTCTGACTTCAGTACAAAACAGAGTGGGGAGATGTAAGTCCGTATCCTTTCCCATGAAGGAATTTGGTAAGTTAAATTGCCTCCCCGTCGCTGTTTTTGCCAGAAGGGTTAAAGATCTCTGTGACTTTCAGCACAAGCTAGCATATCAGACAGTGTAATACTGTTTTCATCCTCTACTGTATCCCTACTGTTCAGAGACCCAGATCTCTGACAGAGCATCTGCAAAAATTAGTTCAATCCTAAATTAAGAAAAAAGGCGTTAAGATACATTTGGAAAGCATTTGCTGGCATGTTCAGTTCAGAGAACGGACAACTTCAGCCTGTACGCTCTTAAGAAACAGCCACAACTGAACAGTTCAGCTAAGTCATTACCTGCGGGGGGCCAGGCTTTTATGTAGCCTGTGCAGTGCACCACAACGTAGTGAGGTTCGCCATCTTTTGCTGCACCTAAGCCGTTCCTTGGGAGAGAGAAACAGTCTGATTGTGCCATATATTGAACTGGGGTAAGGCGAGGCAAGGTTTCTACTTGTATTTTTAAAAAGCTTCCACAGAACATCTTCAGGGTGGAAAAAAAAAAGGAACAAAGACTTAATATAAATGCAAGAGGTCCGAGAACACAATAGGTTGGAATCTATCTCAATTTCAAATTAAAAAGGGACAACATACACCAGAGCCCAACAACAGTGTAAAGAACATGTGGTGTTAAATTGACTTCAAATCCAATTTTGGAATAAAGAAAGATTAATCTTTCCCAGGATTATCCTCCTCATACTTTCGTTCTTCTACCCGCAGCTCTATCTAAACTCTATGAGCTGTACCGGTCTACCCTACACACACTCACCACAGTGTGTCCCCACCACTCTGACGACAGAGCTGTAGCTCCTTTTGCTCCTAGCAACGCAGTGTGCTTGCCCATAACTCTTGTATCATTTACCTGCAGCGATTCCTCATAAAGCTGAGACGATTTACAGAGACTGGATCCACCGAGCTGTTGCCACACCTGTACCAGAATTAGAAATGCAAGGGGAAAGACTTTTATCTTTCTTGGTCGACATCAAAAGAATGTCACGATCTTGACTAACAGGAAGCACTCTATAAACAGGGATGAACCTTTGAATCTCCATCACACAAGTGAAAAGCCCTCACCCTACGGACTTCAAGGGAGGTGACACATGGGGTCAAAACAAATTGTTACTTGAAACTGGACCTTCTACCACAACAGCCCTGAGAGCTATCTTAGCATAGGGCAAAAAAAATCTCAAGAACTTGACTCTCAGTTCTGTGTGGAAAGCTCAGCCATGTTATATCACGTCTACATCAGAATGAGTAAAAAGAGCTGGGGAAAAAAGGATGAAGGGGCCGGGGAGCAAGTTCAGCTTCAGGCTCAAATGAGATTTCCCCAGGGAATCTCTCCATTACCTCATTCGGCAGATGAACGATCTTCGTGAACCCATACACATCCTCATGGACTGCTGGCCTTCCTTCTTGACAGTCCCTGTCTTCAAATCTAGGATGCGACCTAAAAAAAGAAGAAAAAACAAGATGCTGCTGCAATGCGAGTCCTCTCACCAACACAGGCACCAGGTAACGTATTAGGAAACTAGCAAGACACAAGTGTCACCAATGGTACCTTTAGATGCATTCTCAGGGGGGGCTGCAGGATCCTTGTTAGAAAGGCACCAGGGTTTGGTTCCTTCTACAAAGGGAAGGTTTTAATCCAAGTCCTCTGCAGGCTTTCACGCTGCCCGCCCCCACCAATGCCTTCCCAGGCTGCTTTACCTGTCAGTGCGTTCTCCGATGTGGAGAGCTGCTCCCTCAGCTTGCCCACGTCATCGGGGTGCACCTGGTCATACAGGGTGCTGCCGAACCATTCGGACTGGGGCTGGTTCAGGACAGGAGTCACAGAGTCGGAGACATACACCACCCTCCCAGTCTCACACGACACTATGAAGAGAAAGCCGTCGGCCGCCTCCAGGATCAAGTGTTTGAGTTCCTGCATTCACAGACAGACAGACACGCTCTTAACTCCAGAGCCGAGCAGGGAAAGCCCTCTAAACCCACCCTGGTGCCTATCTCCCCCCGACACACCAATTTAATTCCCCCCCACGGCTGCAGTATCTCCCACAAAGCAGCATCAAGCCAAGACCTGGTCAGTGAGAAAGGAGGGTTTGTAGGTGCCGTCAGTGGAGGTATTGCCTGTGCCACGCAGGGACTTCATGTGAGAGACAGCCATGCGCAAGATGGTGAGCTTGTCTGGCTTGCGGGCCAGGGCACTGCAGGTGGGCACCATATCTGACAGCTCTGTGATGTAGGCAGTCATCTTGTTCCTCCGCCTACGTTCAATCTCGCTGTGATTTTCCCTGCAAAAGGCCAGGGAGGAGAGGAGGAAGATGAAGTTACCAACGGGCCAGAAGCCTCAGCCATTTCCCCATGTCCACACTTCCACAAGGCCCGAGTGCAAAACACAGAGATGCATCAGGGTCATCAGGAGTTAGAAGGACTGCAAGCGCCTCACATGCTGGGCGTGCACAAAGGAACGCAGGAACAAGTGCAAGGAGGACAGTCTACAGTTGGACCTTCTTTGCTGCGGACAAGAACCTTGCTTTAAATCACATCGGTTCCCTGGTATCTGGTGAAGGAAACGAGCTAGGCTAAGCCATTTTAGCAGAGAAAGAAGCTTCCCCATCAATTCCTGAACGCTGCAGCAAGCCGAAGGATTTCTTCCTTTACTAGGGCCTCTGCTCTGAAGGTGGGCTTCACCTCGCTTTACTGAGGAAATTTGCTTTTAAAGAGCACTGGTGCAGATGGACTGCAAAGACTCATCCCACCCACTGTTTGACCAAGGATGAATCAATCCCCACCACCGGCACCTCGCAGACACCCATGCGTCTCCAATAACCATACAAGGTGGCCAGGGCTGCAGCTAAGACTTGGGCACCTAAATTACAACAGATGAGTCTCACCTTGCAGTGCTTTTATGAAGATACTTCTAAGTTACATCGACAGCCTTTTACAGTATCATGGCAGGAGGGAAAGCTTTAAGGCAGATATACACCCGATTTCTGTACAGAACAAGGCCTGCGTGGGCAAACCACCTACCAGGCACACACCTGGGTGGTGCGCACAGACTTCTAAAGAGGCACCACGACAAATGCTGCCCACTTGCAGTCCTTAAAGAGGTTCTCCACAGGCCTTTTGCAAGTCTGCTCACAGGGCGCAGTCCCCGTAAGCCCCCAGAGATGAGATCATAACTTGTTTAGACTTGGTTCTTTTTCTCCGGCATATGTAGTTTAACTGGGTTGTTAAGGTGGGTTTTTCAAAACAGAACTTAAATGCTTGGTTTCCTATAGAGAAGGATGGATCAGATGCAAGGAAGCACATGGTGGGAAATGAAATGAGATGAAAGTGTTGGAAGGAGCACAGACAGGCAAGTGAATTAAAGAGGATAAATACAAAAATGGAGCCGTCATCACTACCAGGTGTGTGCAATCATTCAACACCCTTGCTCCTCGCTGCAAGAAACTGATACTCAAAAAAAGAAGTGCTTCAATTATCACACTCACCTTTAATTTCGTTTCTCCAAACTCACATGCTCAAGTGTGAAAATGAAGCCACCTTCACTACAAAAGCTACTGGGAAGCCACCAGATATTTTACTTGCACCACTGCCAAATATTCTTTACTACAGGCTCTTGCACGACAGCAACAACTGACTACTGGGGAGGGAGGAAAGGGTCACTACCTTCACTGAAGGAGAAATCCCCGAAAAGCACGGCTGTTTGCTGTATTCACAGGCCCCACCTCTAGGGTCTCCTTATCTCCTCAAATATTTAAGCTATGCAACATCACAGTTGGGAAAGGCTGTGTCTGGGGTTTTTTTTTGTTTTAAAACCAGCCAGCAGGCCATAAACCAACCAGGACTGTGGCAGTCTCAGCACCCAAGACAGTCTTTTCAGTCCTGTGCATTAAGAACAAGTCTAGGGCAGAAGAGTCCTAAGGAGTTACAGAGTTAAGTCTGTGAGGCGGCAAGCCACAAAACAAGCCATTCTTCACGAATTACCAAGCCTCAGCTCTGCAGCAGTAACGAGCTGTGGGTGGCAAGCAACAGAAGCCTTGACAAGGATTTAAGCAATTTTTATTTTGCAGCTGAAAATAGCGAAGGGTACATTTCGAGTTGGTGTTTTTCTGCTGGAGAAATGCGGTCCTGACAACATACCACCTCAGCCAGCTGCCGCTGTGCGCACACATTCTCAGGGTACATTTCTGTATTCTGTATGATGTATTATCATCATTCAAGATGACTGCTTCAGCCATTTCAGCCACAGTCCCTCATTAATTACAAATAGGAACTTGGGGGCAAAAAAAATAATCCTGTTTTCAGTAAGCCTGAACTGCCATAATGCGCAGGACACGACCTTTTCTGGAAGTTTTTAAGGGGTAGAAAAAGCCTGACCTAGCACGCTTTTTATTATCTGCTTTGATAGTACAACAGCATTTCTGTGACAAAACCTTACCAAGGTGAGAACAGGCCATTGGGCACCTTGATCCAGCCCAGGAGAAACTGCATTTAGCACAGGTTAGCAAAGCTACAGTACTCAGTGAAAGCAATGGCCCGACCACGCTCTACCCTGCGGTCTTTGGCAAACAAATCCTTTTGTGTATTCCCCAAAGTCATTCTCACAAGGGGACTAAACGCCTTTCCCCTCCTAGTTCCAATCACACAGTGATTTCCAGAAGTCTGTTCAGTTTCAAGTCCTCTACTGCAGCAGATGAGGGAAGGAGGGGGGAAAAAAAGAGAAGGGATGCCTAGAGAAACATTAAGGAAAGGAAATACTCTGCTTGTCCATGCTTGAAATCTCCATTCTCCTACCTGGCAAGTCTCTCCTTATCCGCTGAACTCTGTTCATCATCAGACCTAAAAATAAAATCAGCGATCTAAGCTAAAATGGAAAAAGTTTAAAGAAATGAAAAATGGGAAGATGTACTAGGAAACCCAGCCTACAGACACGTCTGTTTTGCAGAGGAGCAACTCCATAAAACAAAGCAGTCATTAGTTTGCAACATTACACATTAAACGGGTGCCTGCTATCTATGTTGTTCAGAAGTTTTAGGACGCTTCCCAAGACTGTAAAACAGGCAAGGGGTAGCTCTGTTTTACCTATAACCAAGGTGCAGATTACTCTGCGCAAGATTAGAAGGTTAATGGCAGAACTAGGAATTAGGGTCCCAGTCACATTAAACTACTCTTTCTTTAAAGAAAAAAAAAATCAATAGCCTCTTTGATAGTATTAACAAATCAGAAAAGCAGATTAAAGCCCCCAAATTGACAAACAGCGTAAGATTCACAACTAACACCACACATTTTCATAAGGCTGCTACATAAACACCATTCAGGACAACACAGTCGAGATGGCTACACGACAAATAGCAGAGATGTTATGCGCATCATCTACAAAAAGGCACACAGACGTCCCCACCAACCTGCATGCACTTTCAGTTTTCAGGGGAGAGGAGTCTACAAACCTTGTTTTACAGAGGCTGATGATAAGCTTCCCTCCTTGAGGTTTGGCTACCTTGGAAAACAAACAATCCCCCAAAAGCTAACGCCAGGAAAGGAGAGGGTACCACATGCACCCAGTAAGGCAGGTATGCAATCTCCCAAAGGCTGAGCATCTAAAACACAGGCTGTGGATTTAGTGAGTACAGGAGGAACAGTCCTGGAAAACTCATCTGTGAGCTACGGGCAGGCCAAGGGGCACAGATGCAGAGGGGAGCTGCGCCACACTTCTCGTACAGCTGCTTTCAGGGCGTCAGCACGCTAACCCCGAGGACTTCGTCACTGCTTTTCACCTCCTGCCGCTGCCCTTGTTGCCCGAGCTGGCAACTGCACGCGGTAGTCTCTGCGTTAAAGCGCAGAGGTACTGCTGATGCCCCGCCAGAGGCAGAGGCCCCGGGCCTCAGCAGTTCAGAAGGGACATTCAGTTGTTTTATTTCTTTGTTTATTCCTTCCTCACCTCCCACGCGTGTATTAACCAGGGTGACCAAAGGCCACACCACAACAGGGGTCACAGGGAGCCAAGACCCTTCTCCAGCTATGGCACTGCACAGTTAGGTAGTAGAGTTTGTAACTTTAAGGGCCAGGAAACTGTTCAGCACTGCGATGTTTGCCTCCGGCATGTGCTTTTTTGACATCTTGCATTATCTTAGCACTTATATGTATTATTAAGGTCTGCTATACCTTAAGTTCCCAGAGCTTATGACTTGCACTAGGGAACAAAGTTATTTGATGAGGGCTGGCAAATACATTTCTAATTTGCTTGACTTTAGAACAAGTCAAACCACTTAAAAAGCTGGAGAATCCCAGCTTAGAAGTCCCTGCTAGCCCTTTGGCAGGTAACAGCACGACTGTGACCTGAAATTTTGGCTTTGCAATTTTTTTGCCTCTCTGCATTGAAACTCTGATAGAGGTTTATACCTCTGGCTGAAACATTACAGAACAGACATTTGCAAAGCATTTCTAGACCACTAATTTCAGTGCACAACCTCAGTGAAATCACAGGAAAGGCTCCTGCACCCAACATCATCCCTGGCTCCCCCTGCGATGCGATCTGCCCTGTTGACCCTCAAGTTCCTTGACACAACATGCTGGGCAGCCCTTTCCCCAATGTCCTCAATCACTTGAATTTTAACTCCAATTTCTGGAATTCCCGAAGTCAGACCTCTCCTTAATACAAGCCACAAAGCACAGTGTCTTGGCCATTATTCTGTATTTGCTCATTCTATCTCTTAGCAAGACACAGCATGATGTGCCTTCACACTGAGGGGACACCCTGGAATTTACAGCACTCAGGACATACACAAAAGAACCTCACTTTGGCAAAAGCAGTACACATCAACACAAAATAAACCCATGAAATATTTAAATGAGTTCCATGGGCTTCAGAAAGCTGTAAAAATACAATGAGGTCCGTCCTTTGAGTACTAGATGGTACAGAGCTACTTTCAGACATCAACAGTCAGAGCCAAAATATTGCCTATAATGTTACTGTACACTCCGATCTCTAGGAAATCCCCCATTTATAGAGAAAGCTCCTGCCTAACTTCCCCCCAAAACACATGAGCCACAACATTTGCCAGGAAGCTCCGTTCAAGTAAAACTTGAACTAAGCATGAAACTTGTGTCTCTGCAAGTTTCTCGAGCGGGAGAAAAGAATGAGAGTCCAAGGCAACAGCTGAAAGAAATGTTGAAAAGGGAAGAAGGTAATTTCATCACACTCATAACAAACTGGTCCAAAAAACATCAAGGAAAATGTCTGGATCCTTTGGTGCACCTTCCTTCAAAGAGATAAAATCTAACCGCTAGTTAGGAGGGTGCTACAGGATCTCTCTTAAATTAAGGTGGTTTGGCACCAAAAGTTTCCAAAACTGCATCACAGCAGATTCTTACCTGGCAAATCTCTCTTTATCATTTGGCATCGGGTCATCATCACATCTAGGAGAAGGGGGAGAGGAAGAAAAGTTCTTAAATTGTTTACAGTTACTTCTTTCCCAGAGACACTAAGAGAAGAACAAGGCTTAATAAATCACACAAAAAAGGCCTGATGTTAAAAAGGCAAACTGTGCTGTGCGTAGGCAATCCAGAACCATACTCTTCATTTATCTAGTTAAGAGACTACAATTTAATTATTTTTATCGCCTTGATGATGTTTTCCACCTCACATTCATATCAAGGACAGTGACTACACACAGTCACACACAGAGAAATAGTTCAGTTGCACTTTGAAAATACAGTTAGCCCAAATCAAGACCCTCATCAAAAGGATCACAGTAGGCAAATCCTACGTTCATCAGGGCCATTACCACCTCGAAGCCATTCCGCAGTCATCTTTAAAAGACTGCAACATGTGGACTTCCAGTACCATTAAGAGTTGTCCAATCCTAAACCATGTAGTGAAACTACAGATAAATGACATGAGATCTTCCAACTCTTCTGCATTCCATATGGATCACGAGAGGAGATACTCGCAGCCTCGCCAACTCCTCGGGAGTAAGGATGTCTCTGTAATTGAAGCATCCTTACAACAGATGAGAATTAAGTAATACGCGTCTGAGGCACTAACAAAGGCTCAGTATCTCACTGTTGTGCCGATAATCTATCTGGCAGAAGATTTTTCCCTAAAATCAACAGCGGCTTGGCCAGCAGCAGGGCTCCTATAGCGCTGCGCTGGAACAACCAGCGGATTGCTGGAAGCATTCATGGAAACTATTTAACCTTTCAAGATGCTGGTATCGAACACAGCAACATCATCATGGAGTTCTGCAACACCGCCTCAACCCAGGCTTGCAAGGCTCACTTCTTCAGCTTGACCTGATCTCGCTACGGGGCCTTCCAGGGAGACTTGAGATGGAGACTGCATCCAAAGGAGTAACAGGATCCCCTCTCAGCCACAGACCCTTCTCCGGACTCACAGACCCCATGTGCACAGCAGCTTTGCTTTGGCATCAGCTGCAAAGATGGAGGAATACTGCTGACTAGGAGAAAGGGAAGAGTTTAAGGAAGCGGAGCACTGCCTCCTTCAGACTCCCTCCCGCTTCCCTCCGCACAGCTGGAGAGGAAAAGCCACATGAGCAGCAAGCTCCTGCTCTGGAGAGAATGAACAGACACACAACAGAAACTTCTGGGTACAACGTTCTCCCTCACCTGAGGAACTTACTGTTCCCTTCTCCATCATCATCAAAATCAAGCCTGAAAAACAGAAGCAAGAAGATCATTATTAACCAAGCAGTTTCTCCTTTACAGGTCACTTTTCCATCTGTCCCTACAGGGATGTAGATGATTCTTGAAAGGAAGATTTAGGGCTAACGTGAAACAACCCATGAAGTTTAGCAGGGGGCTTTCCTTTACATGTCTATCAGAAACAGAGCAAGGAAACAGTTCAAAAGAGAGAAAGCCCACTTGGAGCACCCACTGCATCACAGCCTCCTGTTCCAAAAGCTCTGGATCTCATAGCAGCGATCTGAAGCCCAGCAGGCTGCCACAACTGCTCCTCACTGCTCAAGGGACCGATCAACAGGGCTACAAATGGAGCACTCCCAACTCAAAAACTTCGGCTGGTTGCATTTAAAAAAAAAAAAAAGATGAGAACAAAACACTTAAAGAGTTAAAGTTCAGTCTGGTGACCCAGACTAGTTAGCACCCTTAGTTCAACAGCAGACAATGTCACTGTGTTTGCTCTAACAGGGTCAAAAAAACCCCATTTCTAACAAGTCTATGTGGGAAGACAGAGGAAAGGCTTTTCACTGCCCTTCCTTTCAGGGTGGAAAACTGGTGTGTAGATGCAGCACGGCAGCGTACATGTTTGTAAATGAAGTGCGAGGAACGAGTAGCAGACAGCACGGGAGGAGCTGTAGGGGAGTGGGAACAGCAGCAAATGGAGGCAAAGGAAAGAGTCTGAGTGACTGGGGGGGCAGGGAGAGATTTTAATTATCTTGAAAATTATGAGGAAATGTCTTGTGACAGGAATTTAAGAGCAGACACTCAATATCCTTTTAATTTGCAAAGACATTTTTAGCAAACAAAAACCCTACCACAAGCACATTGCTGCTTCCCCCCTCCTCTCTGAGGGCACAGTTGCAAAGGTTTGAGTAAGGCCCCAACATTCACGTTCTCTGTTTCTCTACCTCTTGCAGAAACTGGCTTGTCTCGCTGTTTCAGTGACTCCTGTTTCACTCTCAGTCCTTGGTGAGCAACCTCTTCACCTGTGAGGTGCAACTCAACTTTTTAATCCCCTCTTTTTGCATGTAATACAGAACCTGGCTTTAACGCAGACAACTGGCAGAAAGCATAGCACTACAAAGTAAAAGGACTGGATACAGCACACCTGAAGGAACTTTTTGCTTAGACGTAGTCACGTCTCCTCATTGCAAGGCTGACCACTCTTTCAAGAGAGCAATGCTTCCTCAAAAATACACTTTACACACACACCTCTCCCCCAAAAAAAGCCAACACTCACCCAGAACGCCTCTTGTTGGCTCTCTGAGCGATGGCTCCTCCAGCTTGTGCACCCGGTCCGGGGTTCCCAGAGCTGATGGCTGCACCCAGCGTGGAAACATCTGATGCCATTTCTACGCAGGAGAGTGGAAAAAGAAAATAAACTAGTATTACGTCAAATCCCCCTCTAGTTCAGCGGGTGGAGTATTCTCCACATATAGCTCCCATTAAAAGCGACTGCATTTCAGCATCTGATGTGGATAGACTTTGTGCAATGTGTGTTTCGAGTCCTTTCATCTACTGCCTCTCCAGAGCCTGCACTAAGGGTCCATTTCAAGCTTTGAGCACATGCTGTTTTCATAAGCTCAAAGCTTAGATCACTAAACTAAAAGATGTGGTCTCCTTTTTAGACAGAGGAGGAGCCTGACGTGATTGTGGGTGGGGGCCGAACCCACTCTCATATGCTAGCTGCACGAGTATGCAGAAGGGGAGGAGAAGAGTTGCGAGTTTGCCTAACAAACTCTCTTCCAGAGATGGCGTTAATGTTACTTCCCAATCTAAAAGACAAAGAATTAACCAAAACGCTTTTAAGGCACCCTGAAAGCCATGATCTTTCAGGCAGGCGTTTCTATTCTTCAGCAGTACTGGCCTGTGGGCACCACAGGCATGATTACCAGTCTCTGCCGATGCTCCTCTGCAACTGGCCACACACCCAGAGCAGAGGGACACCAGTTCTTCCCCAAAATGACACTACCTCCAACAAGCAAAATGGCAGCCTTGTTTGGAGCTAAAAAACTTGTGTTTTATAAGCAAAGAAGTCGCATAAGCAGTAGGAAACCTAATCAATGCTTTCCAAAAGACAAAACAGGCAGGTAGCACTCTCAAGAAGTGTGGAATTGCTGGCCTTCAGAGATCATGCCACCCAGTACTGCTTCTACGAGATGTTCCACGTAGATATAACATTTGAGAAAATAAAAAGTCTACTTCGAGATGTGAAAACAAGCCCGTTCTGGTGTATGGGGAAGAAAGAAGGGTCTAAGTGGAGAACTCACGAGGCGGATGGCAGGCCCGAGCCTGTTATGCATTATGGGTTTTGTTTTCCACAATGAAAGCAAAGAGCCGCGGCTCTCCACGCCACCACACCCGCACTGAACCACTTCCCCGAGCCCCGAACCCTTGCCCGTGTTCGGGCGGTGTGAATGCCCCCTTCTCCTCCCCACGCACGACACCAGCACCTCCCGGCCCTTACCGACACGAGCAGGGATTTCTCATTCCTTACAAGCTGAGAGGCTACGTTTGGAAGCTGTGTGTGATAGCAGACACTGAGCCTTACTCCTCCGATTCTCAAGCAGGGCTTTTTCCTAATCCCAGTTGTTCGGGAGGACACGTAACAGGCTCTTGTAGTTGTTCAAAGCTCGCTTGGCATGGCTTAAACTGAAACCATGTCGTAGCATTGCCACGAGAGCTGCGTTCCACGTTCTTCTACATTAACATAGCCTGATCTGCACCAGAACCAGAGTTTTTAAACAAGTTATAAGGCATTTGTTCATGTTTCTGAAATAAGTCAGCTCTGTATCGTTTTAACGGTTGTGGGGGTTTAAGTTTGCTGCTAATCAACTGCTAGACTGGAACAAAAATAGTCGCTCCAGCCAGAGAATCTCCATAGCAGTCTTTGCAAACCAAGCTGTGCAGAGTGCTTTGAAGGTAGAAAACCCGCTTCTCCTTTATTAGAGTGGAGGGGACCAAAAAAAAACCCCCAACACACACAAAAAAAGCCTACTGCTGGGGTTCCCAAACCACAGCAAAGCAGTACACCAACACAGACAGATGCTTATGCAGGAAATGCTGCCAGAACTGGTGGGACAAAGCAAAGAATCGAAGTTAGGTTTAACAAATATGGCAACAAATCGGGGCTTAAGCTGCGAGGCTGTCAAATCTTAGCTTAGCCAAGACCACGAGGATATTGCTCAACAAGTAAAAGAGAGCTACACTATAGCAAGCTTCTGTGCAACAGTGCCCATTTTTACTTCTCACCTCGCCAAATATAAACCACAACCTTTTGTATTCCCCACACGAAAGCAAAAAAAACCCTATTTTCAACATCACAGATACATCTGGGTTTAACAAGTATTTTTACAGGTCCTGAAGTCAGATTTCAATCCAACAGCAGTTTAGTTTAAGGAATACTTCCAGAGTTGGACAGCAGTTTGCTTGCAGCTAAAAGCGGAGCTGTGCAGCAGCCCAAGCACCTCTGCGCTGTGCCTGGACCACAGCAGCTGGCTTGCAGCAACAGCTCTAGCTCTCAGAAAACACGATCCAAAACTTCTGGTATTTCCTCAAAAAAAAAAAAGAAAATAATCTTTTACCACAGTAATATTGCTAGCCTGTATTACTGCCTGATTTGTTTTCCTCCAAGCAGCTGGCATTGCTGAAGAAGTTTCTTCCTTGCCAGTCCATAGTATTTCCCAGGGGTGACTAAAATATGGAATATGCATCCAGCCTAATGCTTGGCAGTTGAAGGGGTCAAGTACAACAACCTCAAACAACAGCATAAGCAAGCACTCCCAATTTCAACACTAACTACAGCAACAAAAGGCAAGGGCTCCTCTGAAGTTTCAAAAAAAGTCTGAGAACAAAGAATCAGGTATGGAAACAGATTTTTAAAAAACAGAAGACTATCTGAGATTACTGCATGTGAATACGTAAGGTCTCTGCCAGGAAATCGATCCCTATGTGATAAAGTCAAGTCAGCTGATGTGATGCACTTAAAATAAGCGGAGGTTGGCCTTCCTCACGCTCCATCCCACGCTGGGACCACAGACCTTCCCCAACTCCCCTCCGCTCGATTTCGGATCGCTTGGACACCTCTGCGGTGCTTCCATTATTTCTTAGCGAAGTCCCAAGGTGCAGAGAGGGCTGATATCAGAGGTCTTTTTTTAGCGGAACATGGAGCCGAGTGCAAGTAAACCAAGTCAGAAGGTTTATTCCCATTCTCAAGGAATCTGTGGCTTTTCAACATACATGTTTAAACACCATGGTCTGAACAGAAATAAAGTTTCTGGAGCACAGCAGATAATCATTTTATTAAGGAGAGAGGAATTTCCGCCTTCAGGCAGGGGAAGGAAGTGACACTGTGCTGTTCCTCTGCAAATCAACTTTTAAATGCGGTTGAGGGGGAGGGAGGGCGTCTTTGTTTGTTTTTAAAGACCTCATCTGAGCCTCGGCTATTTCTAAGCAGCCTGCTGCGTGGCCTAGCATCTCACAGCAGCGTCGCACGAAGAAACCACCTCGTGCTTCAGCTTCCTACTCGGAAACATTTGCCCTCGTGGCACCATGTGCCCTTTCACAAGCGGAAGAAAATAAAGTACCTTGAGATTTGGTAAGGTAAATTGGTAATATTTTATTCTGCATACTGAGGGAGAGCATCAAAATGGTTATGTACTCATTCACACGACCCACCGGCCTCTCTACAGCATCCTCACCCCAACGATAGGGAGAGCGTGGGGCAGGCGGATGGGGTGGGAAGAGGTCTAACTTTTTCACCTGTCAGCATTTCTAGGACACTCACACAAAGGCAAAGCTTCCTTTCAAAACCCCCATTTTTCCCCCAATCCAAAGACGGGTCATAGAGTAATATTACACTGAGGTCAGTGTGGAATTGATGGAGACCAGCCTACCCACGCACGCTCTGAAAGCTTCGCACAGGACGACCGGGCGGTGGCAAGGGTGTCTCAAGTGCACACGTACTCAGTAAATCCACTGGCCCAGATGCCCACCGTGAGAAAAGCAGTCACTTCACAGAAATCCCCCCCAAGCTGCACTTGAAAGCCACCGGCTCCAAGAGTAAAAGGCAAGACGCGAGTAGTCAGAGGCAACCCGAGCCAAAGACCCGGCTAATGGAGTCAACCGATTCTAAGAAAACCTGGTACGTTATAACCTATGAAACACCAGTTCCACAACTTGAAACTACGGGCACCGGGAAAGCTGCTGATCAGTTGGGCAAAGCAGTGACTAGCAGTTCCCAGATACTGGGATGCTTAGTTCTGACACAACATATTGATATCCAAAGCGGCGAGAACAACATTTTTCAACTACTCCAAAATAACAAAAGAGGCAATAAACATACTCCTTTGAAACAAGCAATGTTAAGAGCAACAGGATAAACGTTCGCTTTCGTTTTGAAAGTGGTGTCTTCAAAAATCAGATGTGCCACCAAAAGTCCCAGTCCATCTTTCTCACAGGCAGGGTGGGTTTTGAAGAGTCATTGCTGCAACAAGCAATATCCTTGTTAGGTCTCTGCTCCAGCCCCTTCCAGAATCAATACCTGCTTGCCTTTACCATGTGTTAAATCTAATTAAGGCCAGAAGAGATAAGCAGAGGCAGCGCAGAGAAATTACAGATCCTCGTTTGTAACCGAGTATAAATCTGCAAGCACAACCACAATTCAGCCAGCAGTTCGACCCAGAATAGAAAGAATAGGCTGGAAGATCGCTGAGGGAATCACATCTTGAGAGCCAGACTTCCAGCCCAGCTCTCCTGGGAAGGGCTCTGTCGCAACTACTGGCATCTCAACAGTGAAAAAGCTTTAGAAATAAAGTCACAGAAAATATTCAAAATCGTGATTTACGAGATGGGCCTGTTGTAGCTCTTAAGTGCGTTTTTATTGTACCAGTTAGCCTACTGCTGCCAGGCACCGCACAAAGCAGAGCAAATATGGCTGTTCTTGCTGCAGAGCTCTCACATACGGCTGTTCACCAGGCTCAGTATCAGCCAGCACATTTTAGCATAGCAAGATTTAGTTTAAACTTAAACATTAGCGAGCTCCCCAAAAGCCAAGGAGGTTTAGAACTGTTTTGTGAGCAGGTAACAGCTGCTGAGATAAACTAGCGTACTTTAACAAATACTTGCATTTACCTCACAACTCTAAGACTTTGGTCTGAGCAGCACATGTGGCTTTGTATTTACAAAGTGCCTCAATTTCTGTGTCTCAGGTACCTTAAAGAGATTTATTTTTTAAGGAGGTGGGGTTTTTTTTTTTAGGTTGTTTCAGCTTCCCCCGCAATGCCAGCTCAGCGCTTTCATCCCCATGGGAACCTTCGCCAAGAAGCGTTACAGAAATTAACCAAAGAAAC